ACAAGGTGATTTTATAATACCAAAACCAAACAATATCCCTTAACATTTATAAGAATAGTATCTTTATATCACAGTAAGCTCACTATCTCATTGGTACAGATATTTAAATAAATTTAAGATTTAGACAAATTCACAAATTCCACCTCCATACTTTTATCAAGGTTTTGGAGTCAGAAAGGGCCTTGGAGGTTTTCTAGCTCCTCATCTTTAAAGTATGTAAAATATCTGGAGTATATCCGTAATGTCATGGAGACTAACAGTGGTTCTCACAAAATGTCTCTTGATACCCTGTTAGAGACAAAACATTGACCTAGAATGGTCTGGGTCGTGACGCACTATGATCCTTCTCATCTTGTGAGTTAGAAATTTTTTACCCACTTGGTGGCCAGAAACAGACCACACTGAGTTTTGATCCTCTGAGACAGTGTGCTCATATAGGTAATTATATAGTTGCAGTTATAAATCCTGTGTGGCTAAATGTAGGCTCTGATAAGCCTTTGAAGGTGAGAAGTCTCCTGAATTGTAACCTAAAATCTTAAATCTAAGGAAAGGAGGACAAATATTGAAAATCAAATTATGATTTTAAAGATCAAATTGGGGTGAATGGTTAATGCTGACAGAGCTAAAAGCGCCATCATCTGGTCCAGAGTAGGGGATTTCACACGTTGCTTCTTGGCAGTAAACAGTAGAATCTCAGAGGTGCGGAAGCCAAAAACCTCTGCAGAACAACTACAACCTCTTCCTGAACAGCCACCTCTGTTGCTTGATATGCAGAATAAAAGCTTTCTGAAACAGGGTTTAACATGTCTCAAAATAGATTTGACAAGTTCTCACCATACCTGCTGCTTCTGCTGGTTTATATATAACATACATACTCTAAGTGATATATATGCACGTATATATAAATATGTACATATATCCACTAAGTTCTTTGGCATAAGTTATTTCTAGTTTTAGATTTACTTTGCTAAAATGAAAACCAGTCATCTAATTTATACCTTAGTGAAAGTAAGATGAAAATGTTTATGAAGAAACAGCTTACAAGCGTTCTTTAACTAGAATGCTTATGTATTTTTGTTTTTTAAACTGAGCTTTCATAACTGTCTTCAGGACAACAAAAATTGTGGGAAGAGAATAGAAAATACTTAGCTGGAAGAGAAATGGCACTTTCTCTTCAAACAAAAGGAATTTGGATTTCATCTAAGAAAGGATAGAAAAGAAAGAGCAATGTAACTTGGTACTTCATTCTTTCTAAAACAACACATAACAAAAACAAACCGGAATTTTATATTGAATCTTTAGTTTATTTCAGTGTCAGGTACCATTCTTTATAAACTGAGGATCAGGGAAGGTATTTAAGGTTCCTTTAAGATAGTTAACATCTAGAAACAATGTTGAGTTTAGTTCTCAGAAGAATTACACAAAGGAGAAGAAAATAGTTTGTAAAGTATATTGAGTTCCTGTGAAAGGGATTAAGCAAAGGTGGTATCCTTACAACTTTTTTTGGGTCTTTTTCTAACACTAAATAGAGGCAACAGGATATAGAAAGAGCTTGGCCTAATTCAAATCCTAGATTTACTACTTGTTAGCTATGCGATCTCAGGAAGTCATTTAACCTCTCAAAACTTGTTTCCTCATCTGTAAAAATAGATTTGAAGGCTGGGTACGGTGGCTCACACCTGTAATCCCAGCATTTTGGGAGGCCGAGGCGGGCGAATCATGAGGTCAGGAGTTTGAGACCAGCCTGCCAACATGGCGAAACCCTGTCTCTACTAAAAATACAAAAAATTAGCTGGGCATGTGGTGGGCACCTGTAATCCCAGCTACTCAGAGGCTGAGGCAGGAGAATTGCTTGAACCTGGGAGGCGGAGATTGTAGTGAGCCAAGATTGCGCCACTGCACTCCAGCCCAGGCAACAGAGTGAGACTCTGTCTCAAAAAAAAAATAAAAATAAAAATAGAGTTGTAAATTGTGTGAGGATTAAATGAAATAATGTATAAAACCACCTAGCAGTTTGGGAAGATAAAAAAGTGCTGGAGGTGCATGGTGGTGACGTTGCACAACAGTGTAAATGTTCTTCATGCTGCTGAACTGTATACCTACAAATGTATTAAACGGTACATTTTACCACAATTTAAAAAATACACCTCGCATATGGTAAGTAATGCTGATTTTTCCTTTGCCTTCTTTAAAGATGTAATTTTCTTTTAATTCTCAAAAAATAACAGGTTGTATATAGCAGGAGATGTTGCATAAAGCTGTCTTAAATTGCATTCATAATTTACAGTAATGTTTATACATTTTGATTACCATTTGATTCAGCTACACTTGGACCTCATTCTTGTTTGGAACTATTCTGCCTTCAAGATCTTGAAATAAGAGCTTCCCGTCTCTGACCACAACCTCTATCTCAATCTGCAGCTATCACTCCCGAGTCTGCTTTGTGACCTCATTTTGACCTCCTATCTCTAGCCTAGCTCTATTCTTCTGAGTTGGCAGACCCTCTTACTTTGTTTTCTTGAACTCTACAGTCAGTGATTACAGTGTCCTCTTAAACACTTGTAGATTCTTTCTCCCTTAACCTTCTGCCATGTCCACCTTCCCAACCTCCAGTCATACTTTTTTCCTATTTAGCTGCTGAACATTTTGGGGAAAGTTCTCAAATAAGACCATTAGCACTTTAGATAAGCTATCTCATTTAATTCAGTCCTCTTAGCATCCCTGGGGAAATATTATGTTACTCACTTTATGAATGGTGGAACTGAGGCTCAGAGTGGTATGGTGACGCACCCAAGGACACTTAATTATATATAGATTCGGGATTTAAACCCAGGTCTGTCTGATATCCAAGCCTACATTCTTTGTATTCCTTTGGTCCTGTTCTCTCTACTATATTTTTCCCACCTTTTTTTTTTCTTTCTTACTGACTTTAGAATAGACCTTTTCTACTCTCAAACTTTGAACCAACTGTAGTAGATAGTTTAACCCACTTTACTGAACCAATTGAGGTTATCCAGCAGAATCTCCTTCAACATCATTTTCTTCGTATGGGCAATTCTCATTTCTCTGCCTCATTGCTGATAAAGTACCCTCCTTTATCTTGCTGATTCCACTTTCTATCCTGGGCCTTGCTTTATGATGTATTTGTATTCTGCCGCCTTTGAGATATCCTTTCATATTATTTTCCCTCTACCTTAAAAAAACCTGAAAAATACCTATTAGCCGTCTTATAGTAATTGGTGATCTCAGCAAGAGCCATTTCAGGGGAGTAATGAGTACAGATTCCAGAAGGCAGAACGTTGATAACTGAGTAGGAAATATGGAAGTTGAAAATGACAAGGGCAGACTTCTTTAATAAAGGCTTACAACGAAATGAGGAGGGGCTGTGTGATCGAAGGACTTTTTTTTTTTTTAAAGAGATTGGGTAGATTTAAACATGATTACATGCTTTTAAAAAAGAGAAAAAGGGAGAGGTTTGTAGAGTAAATACCCTAGAGTGAGATTAATGGGATTAGCCTCAAATGCCTTTATGTATAGGCTGTATCCATCTTTATAAGCCCTGCTGAAATGACACCTCTCTGAAACTCCTTTTGATTGACTCAGGAGGAAGTTTTTCTTCTCTGATTTCCTGTAGCAGCTTATACATCTCTCATGGCATTTAACACATAACTGTTGAATAACAGTGTAGTTATTATGAGCTTTACTGTCTGGGTTTGATTCCTGGCTTCACCACTTACTAGCTGTGTGATTTTGGGCAAATTGCTTATTCTCTGTGTACTCAGTTTCCTTATCTATAACATGGGGATAATATTAGTAGCTACATCATTGTTATGAGGATCAATATCTGTAAAGCTCTTAGAACATGCATTTTTCTTCTACTGAATTGTAAGGTCTGGCTGGATGTGGTGGCTCACATTTGGTAATCCCAGCACTGTGGAAGGCTGAGGTGGGGGCAGGGGGGTTGCTACTACTCCAGTGTAACTGCTTTCTCAGAAATTAAGGCAAAAAGTCTTCCTGACCACGTAAAGGAAATCCAACAGAATTATAAACAGTCTCTGCCTTTAAGGAGCTTGTAAGTCTAGTTAAGAAACCAGACTTAAACATACGAAAAGTTAGACATTGGCCAGGCACAGTGGCTCATGCCTGTATTTCCAGTACTTTGGGAGGCCAAGGTGGGCGGATCACCTGAGGTCAGGAGTTCGAGACCAGCCTGACCAACATGGAGAAACCCCATCTCTACTAAAAATACAAAACTAGCCAGGCTTGGTGGTGCATGCCTGTAATCCCAGCTACTGGGGAGGCTGAGGCAGGAGAATCACTTGAACCCAGGAGGTGGAGTTTGCAGTGAGCTGAGATCACACCATTGCACTCTAGCCTGGGTAACAAGAACAAAACTCCGTCTCAAAAAAAAAAAAAAGAAAAAGAAAAGTTAAACATTTAGGTAATGGTTCTAGTAGTAGGCCATAAAGGAGTTCATGATTAATTATGTTAATTGTACAGACAATGATGACTCTGGAATTTAGGGAAGGGATTTACTTTAGTCCAAGTTAGTCAAGGAAAACTTTATTGGAGTAGTGGAATTTGAACTTAACCCTGAAAAGTGAGTAAAGTTTGGGTAAGAGAGAGACTAATCCAGATTTCTTGTTGATGAGTTTGAGAGTACTTTGTCCTTTAATTTTTTTTTTTTTTTTTAAGATGGGAGTCTCACTCTGTCACCAGGCTGGAGTGCAGTGGCACAATCTCGGCTCACTGCAACCTCTGCCTCCCCGGTTCAAGCGATTTTTCTGCCTCGGCCTCCTGAGTAGCTGGGACTACAGGCGCACACCACCATGTCCAGCTAATTTTTGTATTTTTAGTAGAGATGGGGTTTCATCATGTTGGCCAGGATGGTCTCGATCTCCTGACCTCGTGATCTGCCTGCCCAGCCTCCCAGAGCACTGGGGTTACAGGCATGAGCCACTGCACCCAGCCTAATTTTTATTTCTGTGTTCTTGTTACAGGCATCCCGATTTTCAACTGCTAAAGGAAGAACAGAGGTATGGTTGAATCAGTATCATTTACCATTTATATATTTATGTTAATAGAAACATTAGGAGTGAACCAGGTGATAGGAGCTCTTGGACTTCCTGTGCTGATGCATTATGTAAATGTCCCATTCTAGCCCACACAAAGAAATATTTGACCTGTTCAGCTTTTTCTTTTGTGATGGTAAGATGATGTGTTTGATCTGTATGATTTATTGTACAGCTGTTCCTCCCGAGGAAATCTAATTTAACCTGTTGAAATAGGACATAAACACAGCCTCCATCTCAGATACCGTGCTTCTTTGTCAACTAGATTGTGCCTATTACATTTGTTGAAAGGTTTTTATAGTCCTATAGGATTTCAAAACCAATAATGTACCAGTTACTTAATTATTTGAAAGAGCATCTAAAGCATTAATATAAATTCCAAGTTGTGATTTTCTTTCTAAACTTTCCCATGGTATTGTTTGCCTGGTATGGCCATCTCTCAAAACACATCCCTTAACTCTCAGAATAAATGTTCCTAGTTAATAGTCACTACCTTAGTCACAGGGCATTGAGCACAAAGAAGAGATATTTATTTGTTGATGTATATCTTTATAGCTTCAGAGTAGTATAAAAACATATAATTGCCTTAAAACTCCAAGAGAAAGTATGAAATACATGAAAGTTAAATTGTTCTAATTTTCTGAGCTTACACCTATTTTTACTTCTGATGCAAGAGACAGCCCCATGGCTATATAGGCTAGATTCTAACTAAAAGATGGTATCTAAGACTAAACTAACTTTTCGTCTTTTTACTTCATTCCCATCTATGACCTTGCTTTCAACTTTTATGTATATATATTTTTTTTCCTTTACATTTTCCCACAGCTTACTTCTTGACCCAGAGTCTTTTTCATCCTGATCTTTTAAAGTTTTGATATGTGTCTGTGCTTGAGAGCGTCCTTCTTTGTTTCAAGTTTGTATTGGCAAAGCTACTCTTGCCTTCTCTCTTTCATAATTCTTTACCTTATTCAAATCTAATCTGAAAATTGAAGAACATTGTCAGGGACAACTTTTGTCTTTTATTGTTAGCATGCTGTTGTAACTCTGGATTTTAAAATTTAAATATCTTTTATTGAAAAATGTTGATTTGTTAACTTGTTCTGCTATGTCTTTCCTGTGATTTTCATTCTGTAGAATTTTCTGTACAACAGTCAACCAGATAGAAATGTTTACCCATTTATTTTTATCATTTTATCTTTTCAAACCTAAACACAATTCCTGTAATTTCTTTTTATTTAAGAAACTGATAATGGCATTTTCTTTTTTTTTTTTTCGAGACAGAGTCTCACTCTAAATCACCCAGGCTGGAGTACAGTGGCGCGATCTCGGCTCACTGCAACCTCCGCCACCTGGGTTCAAGCAATTCTCCTGCCTCAGCCTCCCGAGTAACTGGGACTGCAGGCATGCACCACCGCTCCTGGCTAAATTTTGTATTTTTAATAGAGACAGGGTTTCACTATGTTGGCCAGGCTGGTCTCGAACTCCTGACCTCAGGTGACCCACCTGCCTTGGCCTCCCAAAGTGCTGGGATTACAGATATGAGTCACCACACTTAGCCAAAATTTTCAAAAGAAAAACTTTTTTAAAAAAGGTCAGCCAGTAATCTCAGCACTTTGGGAGGCCAAGGCAGGTGGATCACTTGAGGTCAGGAGTTTGAGACCAGCCTGGCCAACATGACGAAACCCCATCTCTACTAAAATACAAAAATTAGAGGGGAATGGTGGTGTGCACCTGTAATCCCAGCTACTTGGGAGGCTGAGGCAGGAAAATCACTTGAACCCAGGAAGCGGAGGTTGCAGTGAACCAAGATCTTGCCACTGTGTTCCAGCCTGGGTGACAGAGCAAGACTCCATCTCAAATAAATAAAAATAAAATAAAATACAAAAATAAAAAATAAAAAGGTCAGCCGGGCATGGTGGCTCATGCCTGTAATCCCAGCACTTTGGGAGGCCAAGGTGGGCAAATCACTTGAGGCCAAGAGTTTGTGACCAGCCTGGCCAACATGGCAAAATGCCATCTCTACTAAAAAAAATACAAAAATTAGCCAGGCATGGTGGTGCCCACCTGTAATCCCAGCTACTCGGGAGGCTGAGGTGGGAGAATTGCTTGAACCCAGGAGGCAGAGGTTGCAGTGAGCTTAGTTTACACCATTGCAATCCAGCCTGGGCAACACAGTGAGACTCTATCTTAAAAATATATATCTATTTTTATATTATTTTTCATATTATATATTTTTAAACTACATATCTATTTTATATATTATATATAGTATACATTATGTAATATATAAGTGTATGTTATATATGTAAATATAAATATATACTTTATATTTTATATATTTATATATTATACACACTTTATCTAGGTACTTTATATATATTTATATATACATATGTTTGCAACAACAGGCAAATCCAAATAGTGCAGTGGGACAGCATTATCAAGTTTTTTAAAAAGTTTTGCTGTACTCCTGTAACAATTTTAAAATAATTGGAGGAAAAAGGTGAAGGAAGAAGACAGAAGAACTGTATCAAAAAATAGGTGTACTGAAATTATAGGCTTCTTCTGAAATTAATATATCGGAACCTAGAAATAAGGTTTTGCCTAGGGAATAAAAATTTCTACCTTGAAAGTTACAATGTATAAACACTATGAGGTACTTTCCTATTGTTTCGGGTTTTATTTGCTATTTGTTATTTAGTTATTTTATTTCTCTTTCATTCTACAGTGGCCATTCTGGAGAAGAAGTACAGTTATGCAGTAAAGCCATTAAAACATCAGATATCGACAATCCTAGCCACTTTGAAAAGCAATATGAATCTTGTTCTTCTAGCACTCACAGTGATAGTAGCAGTGACAATGAGCAAGACTTTGTTTCCTCTATTCTACCAGGAAACAGACCAAAGTCAACAAGTATTAGACCACAGCTGCACCAAAAAAGCATAATGAAAAAGAAAGCTGGTCACAAAGCTGACTCCAAACACAAAGACAAAGAACAGACAGTAGTAGATGTCACTGAGCAGTTAGGCAATTGCAAATTAGATAGTCAGGACAAAGATGCTACATGTGAACTTCCTTTACAAAAAGTAAATACTCAGAGTTCTTCAAATAGCACTTTGCCTGAAAGATTAAAAGCTTCAGAAAATTCTGAAAGTGAATACAGTAGGTCGGAAATAACTTTGGTAGGCATAAGTAAGAAAAGTGCAGAGCATTTTAAGAGAAAATTTGCCAAATCAAACCAAGTGTCTAGGTCAGTCTCTAGCTCAGTGCAGGTGTGTCCTGAAGTTGGAAAGAGGAACTTACTTAAAGTTTTGAAGGAGACTTTGATTGAGTGGAAGACAGAAGAAACTTTGAGGTTTTTGTATGGCCAGAATTATGCTTCTGTGTGTCTGAAACCTGAAGCCTGTCTGGTTAAAGAAGAACTTGATGAAGATGACATAATCTCAGATCCAGATAGTCATTCCCCTGCCTGGAGGGAGTCTCAGAACAGCTTGGATGAGTCTTTACCTTTTAGGGGCTCAGATACAGCCATTAAACCGCTGCCGAGTTACGAGAATTTGAAAAAAGAAACTGAAAAGTTAAATCTGAGGATCAGGGAGTTTTATAGAGGACGATATGTTTTGGATGAAGAAACCACCAAATCACAAGACTCAGAAGAGGTATGTCTTACAGACATTGAGTTTTTCCAGGTCGTTAACATTTGGAAAACTCACCACAGCAAATCTTGGAGCAGGAAGGGTATTGAAGAGATAATTGTTAAATTTTCAAATAGTTTCTTTAGTCATTCTGCCTTTTGGTTTACAGTGCCATCTCCACTGTTGGCATTACTATTTTACAAATAAGTTGACATTTATCCCTAGTAAATTTTCATCAGTGTGCAATATTTTTTTCTAATGTAAAAATAGCCTAAAATGGTGGGACAAAGTTTTCCCTAATTCTTCATATAATAAATGAAGCCTCTGAAGAGGCTTGCTTTTTCTTCTTCGGCACGTATTCTTTCAGATTTATACATGGGGTCTGTGTGTGTGTGTTTAATGGAAGTATATGCCATGGAATAGACTTGCTAGTTACATTGAAAAATATTTAGCAAGCATGTCCATTTAAAATATTATAGATGAAAATAATTTGTAAAAGAGACTTATTGGGAAATAATGGACAAAGAGAATGGAAAGCACATTCAGATAGACCTAGATTTGAACATCTGTTTTGTCATTTACTAGCCGTATGAAAAATTAGTTTCCTGGTCTGTTTGCTCATCTGTAAATGGGACTATTAATAGCTTCTCTTGCTCAATTGTTATTCGTTTTAAAGATAATGTGTGTAAAGCATTTATCACAGTACATGACATGTAATTGGTACTCAGTAAATAGTACCCATAAGTAGAGATTGAAAATGTGCCACTGAGATTTAGAGAGCATCTTTTAATATTTCTACTACCCATCTTTGATTGATGTGTACTCCCTGGAAAATGAAGTCATTTAACATGAAGAGGAATGGGTAATAACCTTGTTTTTACCACAAAACTTTGTTCTCAAATATTCCCAAGTAAATGTGGCTCTAAATTTAAAAGCACATTGGAGATTTGGAAAGAGGGTAGAAGCAGAAATGTAAAAAATTTAGAAATATATTTCTATAGAGTGTTGCTTGGCCCAGCACCCTACTTCAAATCATTTCAAGTATGTTATTAGACATCATCCAAAACTTTTATTAAGCTGGGAGAAACATTGATTTCTGTCACTAAGCTGCATAAACCTACCATAGAACATCAGTTATTTTATCATTTTGTGCTTTTTAGCCTTAATAATCCCTGAAATTTGACTATTTAAAATTTATAACATTTTCCAAAAATGTTACATAACACATTAAAACATTTCCATTGAAGTACAACATAAATAGTAATTATATGATTTCTTGAGTATTCACATGTTAATGTCCTGATGTAATCACTACCCAAGCCAGGAAATAGATCATTATAAGTAAACTAGAAGCCCCATATATATCCCCTCCTAATCAGCACCTCTTTCCAAAATTAATATTATATTAGCACAGATTAGTTCTGTCATTTTTTTTTTTACAGTATATATTCTTGGTGTCCAGTTTATTTCATGCGGTATTATACTTTTGAATCATTTGTGTTGTTGCATATAGCTGTAGTTCTTATTGCTGCATAATATTCCATTATATAAATATACCATTTATTTATGCTAATGGACATTTAGACTATTTCCAATTTGGGGCTATTATGAACAATATTCTTATGAATTTTCTTGTATTTATCTCTGTGCTAATATGCATATGTATTTCTGAAGTATCTAGGACTGGGAATGCTGGGTTATCATATATGCATGTATGCAGCTATACTAGATAATGCCAAACAGTTTTCCAAAGTGGTTGTACCAGTTTACAGTTCCACTACTACTATATGGGAGTTTCCTTGACTCCACATCCTCCCTAGTACTTGATATTGTTAGTTTTAGCCATTCTGGTAGTATTGCTTTATGATTATATTTATGTGATAATTAATAAATTCAGCACTATTTTATTTGCTTATTGATCACTTGGATAATCTCTTAGGTCAGGTCTGCAGATCTCTCAGCCGTGGATACCAGCACCTGCTCTGGTGGAGATGGCAGGGGGTGAAATGGATTCTGTGAGGATCCTTAGTTTTGGTTGTTTAATGCACTATTTTTGTGCTGGTTAGCCTCCTGCCAGAAGGTGGCACTTTTGAGAGAGCATCAGTTTTGGTAGTATAGGGAGAATCAGGCTGTGGGTAGGGCCCTAGAACTCCCAAGAGTATATGCCCTTTGTCTTCAGCTATCAGAGTGGGTAGGGAAGGACCATAATGGGGACAGGGCTATATGTGTCTGAGCTCAAGACTCCGTGGGCAGGGCTTGCTGTGGCTGCTGTGGCAGATGGGAGTGTGGTTCCCAGGTCAGTGGAGCTGTTCCAGGAAGATTATGGCTGCCTCTGCTGTGTCATGCAGGTTGTCAGAGAAGTCGGGGAAAGCCGGCAGTTACAGGCCTCACCCAGCTCCCATGCAGCCCAGATGACCAGTCTCACTCCCACCATGCCCCTCCAAACAGCACCAAGTTTGTTTACTTGGCAGTGGGTGGGAAGGGCTGAGAACTTGCCCCAGGCTACCAGCCTCCCACCTGTGAGAGCAAGTAGGACTTTCACATCTCCCAGCCTGTGGAGTCTGCACACCAGATTCACACCCTCCCTTGAGTTCTGGCCAGGAGACTTCCTGTTCAGTTGGAATTGTTAAAAAATTCAGCTGGCCTATCATATGGTCTGTCTTGGAGACTGTTCCATGTGCTGATGAATAGAATGTATTTTCTGCTATTGTTGGGTAGGATGTTCTGTAAGTATCTGTTAAATCCATTTGTTCTAGGGTATAATCAAAATTATATCAAATATTCTCTCAGGCCACAGTGGAATTTTTAAATTTCTACTTTGATTTCACTGTTGACCGAATGATCATTCAGGAACAAGTCTTGATGACCTGTCTAGTGCTGTCAGTGGAGTACTGAAATCCACCACTATTATTGTGTTGCTTTCTATCTCATTTCTTAGGTCTCATAGTAACTGTTTTATAAATTTGGGAACTCCAGGTTTAGGTGCATATATATTTAGAATTGTGATATTTTCCTATTGGACTAGTCCTTTTATCATTGTATAATGTCCCTCTTTGTCTTTTTAAACTGCTGTTGCTTTAAAGTTTGTTTTGTCTGATATAAGAATAGCTACTTCTGCTCACTTTTGGTGTCCATTTGCATGGAATATGTTTTTCCACCCTTTACCTTAAGTTTATGTGAATCCTTATGTGTCAGGTGAGTCCCTTGAAGACAGCAGATACTTGTTTGGTGAATTCTTATTAATTTTGCCATTCTGTATCTTTTAAGTGGAGCCTTTAGGCCATTTACATTCAATGTTAGTATTGAGATGTGAGGTACTATTCTATTCATCGTGCTGTTTGTTGCCTGGACAGCTTTTTTTTTTTTTCATTGTTGTATTGTTTTATAAGTCCTGTGAGATTTATGCTTTAAAGAGATTCTATTTTGGTGTTATTTCCAGGATTTATTTCAAGATTTATCACTCCTTTAGCAGTTCTTGTAGTGCTGACTTGGTAGTGGTGAATTCTCTCAGAATTTGTTTGTCTGAAAAAGGCTATCTTTCCTTTATTTATAAACCTTAGTTTTGCTGGATACAAAATTCTTGGCTGATAGTTGTTTTGTTTAAGGAGGTTAAAGATAGGACTCCAATGTCTTCTAGCTTATAGGGTTTCTGCTGAGAAATCTGCTGTTAATCTGATAGGCTTTCCTTTATAAGTTATGTGATGCTTTTGCCTCACTGCTCTTAAGATTCTTTCCTTCATCTTGACTTTTGATAACCTGATGACTATGTGCTGGGGCAATGATCTTTTTATGATGAATTTCCCAGGTGTTCTTTGAGCTTCTTGTATTTGGATGTGTAGGTCTCTAGCAAGGCCAGAGAAGTTTTCTTTGATTATTCCCTCAAATATGTTTTCCAGACTTTTAGATTTCTCTTCTTTCTCAGGAACACCAATTATTCTTATATTTGTTTGTTTAACATAATCCCAAACTTCTTGGAGCCTTTGTTCATTTAAAAATTTTTTTTTTCTTTGTCTTTGTTGGACTGGGTTAATTCAAAAGCCTTGTCTTGAAGCTCTGAAGTTGTTTCTTCTACTTGCTCAATTCTATTGCTGAGACTTTCCAGTGCATTTGCATTTCTCTAAGTGTGTCCTTCATTTCCCAAAGTTGTGATAGTTTTTTATTTATGCTATCTATGTCACTGGAGATTTTTCCATTCATATCCTGTATCGTTTTTTTTGATTTCTTTAAGTTGGGCCTCACCTTTCTCTAGTGCCTCCTTGGTTAGCTTAATAATCAACCTTCTGAATTCTTTTTCTGGCAATTCTGAGATTTTGTCTTGGTTTGGATCCATTGCTGGTGAGCTAGTGTGATGTTTTGGGGTTGTTAAAGAACCTTGTTTTGTCATATTACTAGAATTGTTTTTTTGGTTCCTTCTCATTTGTGTAGACTGTGAGAAGGAAGATCTGGGACTCAAGGGCTGCTGTTCAGATTCTTTTGTCTCACGGGGTGCTCCCTTGATTTGGTGCTCTCCTCCTTCCCCTAGGGATGGGGCTTCCTGAGAGCCAAACTGCAGTGATTGTTATTGCTCTTCTGAATCTAGCTACCCAGCAGAGCTACCAGGCTTCTGGCTGGTACTAGGGAGTGTCTGCAAAGGGTCCTGTGATGTGATCCGTCTTCAGCTGTGGATACCAGCACCTGCTCTGGTGGAGGTAACAGGGGAGTGAAGTGGACTCTGTGAGGGTCCTTAATTGTATTTTTTTTAAGTGCACTGGTTTTGTGTTGGTTGGCCTCCAGCCAGGAGGTGGTGCTTTCAAGAGTGTATCAGCTGCAGTAGTATAGGGAGGATACAAGCTTGCTCTGGGGTCAGGCAGTAGGCAGGGCCATAGAGCTCCCAAGAGATTAAGTCCTTTGTCTTCGGCTACCAGGGTCAGTAGAGAAAGACTATCAGGTGGGGGTACCATTGTGTAATTCCCAGGCCAATTCCCAGGGGGATTATAGCTGACTCTGCTGCGTCACACAGGTCACTAGGGAAGTGGGAGAAAGCTGGCAACCACAAGCCTCACCCAGCTTCCACACAGCCTGTAGCCTAAAAGGCCAGACTCACTCCCACCGTGCCCCGACAAAAGCACCAAGTTTATTTCCAGGCAGCTGATGAGCAGGGCTGAGAACTTGCCCCAGGCTACAGGCCTCACAGCTGAGAAAGCAAGCTGACTCATAGTTCCTCGCCTTTTCTGGTATGTTTCTGCGGTAGTTCTTGGAGCAAAAGTTCATGATGTGAGTCTCCACATGCCGCTCTGTCCGACCAAGTGGGAACTGCAAGTTAGTCCTGCCTTCTATCTGCCATTTTTTCCCAGACCTAACATTTATTTTTAATATTAAACCAACTTTGCATTCTTATAATAAACTCAATTTGATTGAGCTATAGTAGCCTTTTTGTATAATACTGAATTTGGTCCTCCTAATATTTGCCTTAGAATTTTTGCACATATTTTCAGAATGAGTGACATTAGCGTATGAATTGCTCATGGTCTCATCATAAATCACATGGTACAAATTGAGTAATCTGAGGAAAGTTTATGGGACTGTTTTCCAAAGTGTGCAAATGTGGTCAGAGTGAAGGAAACTAAAGGAATAATACACTAATCGTAGTTTGAGAGCCCTCACCACCCCCAGACCTCAAGGGAAAAGGTAGGAGTGGACCATGAGGTTTTATATAAGGAAGTGCAACATGTAGTGGACCAAGCAGGAATGACTCTTCTGCACCATCCAGTTTCTTATTCTTCATTGGCAAAACTGAGATAAAAGCCAGAGACCAAGGAAGCCCATTGATGCAGCCTGTACAGATCAGCCTTCTGAAGTACAAAGACAGTGGAAAAGGGTGAAAATTGTTCAGAATGATGATACCTGGCACTGCCTATAATTTTCCTTTCTTGTAATATCTTTATCAGGTTTTGGTTGTAATCATTTGGTAAAACAAGTTGGGAAATGTTCCCTCCATTTCTGGAAGAATCTGTCTAAAATTAATGTTAGTTCTTTAAATGCTTAGAATATCACCCATTGAGCTATCTTTTCCTCTGATTTTCTTTGTGGGTTGTCAATTTTTTTTTTTTTTGAGTTGGAGTCTCCTCTGTCGCCCAGTCTGCAGTGCAATGGTGCCATCTTGTCCCACTGCAACCTCCACCTCCTGGGTTTGAGCTATTTTCCTGCCTCAGCCTCCCAAGTAGCTGGGATTACAGGCATCCATTGCCATGCCTGGCTAACTTTTGTATTTTCAGTAGAAACGGGGTTTCACCATGTTGGCCAGGCTAGGTTGGTCTTGAACTCGTGACCTCAAGTGATCTGCCCACCTCAGCCTCCCAAAGTGCTGGGATTATAGGTGTGAGCCACCACACCTGGCCTGTCGGTAGTCAATTTTTAAAAACTTTTTGTTAGGGAAATTTTCGGAAACACAAAGATAGAGTAAATGGTCCATGGAACCAGCAACATCAGCATCATCTAGAAGCTTGTTAGAAATTCAGACTCTCATCCCCACCCCATATCTACTGAATGAGAATTACTTTTTAACAAGATCCCCCAGAAGATGGGCATGCACATTAACATTTGAGAAGCACTGTTGGGGTGTGGTGGTTTGGGTTTTGGTTTTGGTCTGCTCATTCCATCAGTCACTGAGAAAGATGAGTTAAAATCTCTCACCTTAATTGTGGATTGATTATTTCTCCTTTTAGTTCTGCAAATTTTACTTTTTGAGACCATGTTATTGGATATAAATGTAAAATTGTTACGTCTTCCTGGTAAATTGAAACTCCTATCACTATGGAGCAATCTTTCTGTTTTTCTTCTTTACAGTCTACTTTGCTGACATTAACATTCTTGTATTAATGTGGTCAAGGACAATCTGTTTAGATTGATCATCTTTGTCCTTTATGTGGAGAATTTATTTTCATTTCATGTCACAATTGGTATATAGTATTTGGGTTTAAATCTACCATCTCACTCCTCTTTCTGTGTGTCCCACTTATTCTGTCTTCCTTTTCTCTCTTGCTTTCTTTTGCATTGAATCATTATTCCATTTTTTAGCCTCTGTTAAATTGTTTTTATATACTGTTTTATTGATCATTAAATGGTTACCCTAAGTGTTAAAACCTGAATCTTTGTCTTATTAAAGTCTAATGTAAGTTAATATTTTTATTGCTTCCTGGACAATTAGCACCTTAGAATGATTTAACTCCATCTATCCCTCTTGATCCCTCTCAACTTATGTTCTATTATTGGATATTTTTATTTTCTCTAAATTTCAAATATATTGCAAGATTATTTATAGCCAACACTCAGCTGGATTTATCCAATTAATTACTCTTTCATTGTTTTTCATTCCTCCTTCTATCCCCATTCTTCCATCTGGGATTATTTGCCTTGTGCCTGAAGAATATACTTCTCTTAGTATCAGTTGATAATGAATTTTCTGTTTTTCTTTGTCAGAAAATTCTTTATTCTACTTTCACTTTTGAAAGATATTTTTCCGTATTGAATTTTAGATGAGCAGTTATTTTCTTTCAGCCCATTGAAAATATCATTCCCTTGTCTTTTGGCTTCCATTTGTATCTCTTATTGCTACTCCTTTGAAAGTATTGTGTCTTCTTCCTCTAGCTTCGTTTAAGACTTTTTTTGTAAGTTTTGGAATGTTCCCAGTTATCTCCTAGATATTGCTTCTATTCCATTCTGCCTCTTCTCTTTAGTCTTTTTTTTTTACTGTATCTTGTAGGTCTCTTAATCTCCTTTGTGCTTTACATTATGTGTTTGGGGAGTGGTGACTGTGCTTCATTCTGGATATTTTCCTATTCAGCATTCTCTCTTCAGTCATTTCTACTATGCTCTTATGTCTACCCATTAGTTCTTACTTTTAAATACTGTATTTTTGTGTTCTAGGGTCTTCATTTTGTTACTTTATGTAGTTTCCAGTTCTCTGTCAAAAATTTTCAACCTTGTCATTTTTCTTTGAATATATTAAACATTTATTTAAATAATGCTGATAACTTCATTATTTAGATTCCCTGAGGATTGATCTCTGTAGGCTGTTTCAGATTGTTATCATATTGTCTTATTTTATTACATGCCAAACATTGTATATTAAAATTTAGAGAGATAACTGGAGACTCAGGATGATGTTATCTTCCTCTAGAATAGATTTATATTTGCTTCTGACATGATTTGTAGCTGTTCCATATCACTGTAATGTAATCAGAGATTAAGATGATTTCAAGGTGGGATTCACCTCCTGAAAGAACTAGTCTATTTCCTATTCTTTTTCTTATTCCTAGAGTATGGTCTTTCCAAGTCCTGGTCTTATATTTGGGGAGGGTTGCTCATACCCCTCCCTTCTTGAAGGATACCCTAAACTGTCTTTATTAGAAAAACTGCTCCATTTCTCAATATCTAAATGGAAAATTAGTGCTCTATCTGTAATTACCTTCTCCAGGATCTCAGACTGTAATTCTTTATAGCCTTGTTAGCTCTCTGATGCTAACAAATGTGTTTCAAACAAATGTGGATTTTTTTTCCTCCAACTTTTTTCAGTTCTGAGAGAGAGAGTTGGTTTGAATTATCTTGTGTGCCATTTCTAGAATGATTAGGGGTCAAATGACATAATGACAGAACTCCTCATAATATATTTATAGTATTTGCTAATTTTAATATTTTAATCCACTACATTTGTACAGCACTTAGCAGTTTACGAAATCTTTTTGTATACATTTTATCATTTAATAAAGGAGGTATTAATATCCCAATTACAAAGATGAGAAAACTAACTATCCAAAGAGGGCAAATGACTCAAGCAAGTTCACAACAGCCTAACAACTGAGTTGATACTCAAATTTAAATCTAATTCTCAAGTCTAGTTATTTTCCTACTATGCCACAGATACAAGCTTTTGTGTTTTAATGTTTATTGTTCTACTTATCAAAGAAAGAATGTAAACTTATGATTCTGTTTTGCTTTGTTTAAAAATGTGATTCAGCATGATTCCACCTTTCCACTGATAGACTCAAGTTCCCAGAACCAGATTAGAAAACGCATCGTACTTGAAAAGTTGAGTAAAGTGTAAGTATATAATTGCCATTCCAGCTTTGTAGTAGTTTTAAATTAACTTGACATTTATGAGCTCATAATGTGTAAGTATTATCCTCAAATTTTGAACATTTTGAAAAATAATGTGAAAAGTTTCCATGGATTTCTTCACTTGAGAAATTTGGATTTTTAAGATATTTTATCCAAGAAATACAAATTTTTGTGTAGAGGACACAGAGGCACATCATAAAGAGGAAGGTTGAGATTGTGGATTTAGAAGACCAAACTACGTTACTCCCACCTACTCAGTGAAGTCAGGGAAAAAAAATATCACAGCTAGACCCATTTAAATACTGATTTGTGGTAAATGTGTCACAGCAGTTTCAGATGTGAATAAGATGTTATTATAAAGTTTTAAGGGTCTGTTAACTCACTCTGCATGCATATCCTTAGAACCATTTCACACTCAGCAACTTGAGTTTTTGTTCAGCTCAACGTTGCACTTTTAGCTTTAAACTTCCCGTGGTGGAAAGTATTGCTCTTGTAATTAGCCCAGTCATAAATGACATTTAAAAATTGCTATCTTGGTTTTTCTTTCAAAAAGAACTTGAAGATTTTTTTTTTCCTGAGGTGTGAGGGTTGTGTTGAACTTTTCAATCTGCATTTTCTTATTTTAGAAAATAACATGGAAACATGGAAAAGTGTGTCAGTCATTATTTAAGGGTTGTGAATATGAAGTTTTATTTTGTAGCAGTTTGAAAATACGGAAAACATTTCACATTAACCAAGGCATAAAGAAGAGTGAAGACAAAACTAATTATGTTATAGGAATTTTTTGTTGTTTGTTTATGAAAGCGTTTTCTTCTCATTATCAAAGTTAGACCTTTTTTGGTTTTTTATTTGAACCAACCAATTGTAAAAAGTGTTTATTTCAGAGTATCAGAGGAAATTAAATATGTTGGATATTAGATGACACTCAGGAATTAATTTGGATAGTTATGATCATTTTATTGTGATTATATAAGAAAGTGCCTTTGTATTTAGAGATAAAAATGGAAACAGGGGTCAAATGACATGACGACAGGTATTTACTTTAAAATATTACTACAAAATAAGAAAAAAATGGCTAGGTGTGGTGGCTCATGCCTGTAATACCAGAACTTTGGGAGGCTGAGGCAGGGGGATCACCTGAAGCCAGGAGTTCAAGACCAGCCTGGGCAATATAGTAAGACCCCATCTCTACAAAAATAAAAATAAAAATTAGGCTGGGTGCGGTGGCTCACGCCTGTAATCGCAGCACTTTGGGAGACTGAGGCAGGCAGATCACGAGGTCGAGAGATCGAGACCATCCTAACACGGTGAAACCCTGTCTCTACTAAAAATACAAAAAAAAAATTAGCCAGGCTTGGTGGCGGGCGCCTGTAGTCCCAGCTACTCAGGAGGCTGAGGCAGGAGAATGGCCCGAACCTGGGAGGCGGAGCTTGCAGTGAGCCGAGATCCCATCACTGCACTCCAGCCTGGGGGACAGAGTGAGATTTCATCTCAAAAAAATAAATAAAAATAAAAATTAATTGGGTGTTGTGGGGTTACTACTCAGGAGGCTAAAGTGGAGGATTGCTTGAGCCCAAGAGTTTGAGTCTGTAGCGAGCTGTGATTATGCTCGTGATTAAACTGTTCTCCATAGTGGGTGTACTAATTTCCATTGCCACCAACACTGTATGAGGGTTCCCTTGTCTCCACATTTCTCACCAGCATTTGTTATTGCCTGACATTTGGATTATGCCAGTGCACTCCAGCCTGGGTGCTGAAGGGAATGAGAAATGAAGCAAATGTAACAAAAATTAAGAAATTGAATCTGGAAATAGATATATGGGATTATTACTGTTCTTTCTATTTTGGAATATGTGTGAAACTTCCATAGTAAGAAGCTTTTTGTATTATCACACTGGTCTTAAAAAGAAGCTTTAAAAAAATAAAGTAACACATACTTTAGCAAATGAGGCAATACAGAATGGTTTAAAGAAGGAAGTAAAAATTACCCGTAATCCCACCACTCAACACTAACTACTATTAATATTTTGATGTGTATCCCTGACATGTATATGGCATATGTATATTCATTCTATTTGGTTCTCTCTATGGATAAACCTAGAAGGGATGAAATATGCTTGATATGTAATATATATGAAGTACAATGGTATTATATAATATGTTTTTATAAAAATAGGATGATACTATGTACATTTTTCACTTCACATCTATCATGAATATCTTTTTATATTAAAAAATAGATTCACATTATTTTAAATGTCTTATTCTATGAAATTGGTGTATCATAATTTATCTAACCAATCACCTATTGATACACATTTGTTTCCAATTTTTCACTACTAAAACTATTTCCGCAACAAGCATATTTTTTATGTTTATCTGATTATTTCCTTAGATTAAATTTTTTTCATAGTAAAACTGTTGGGTCAAACACATTTAAACTGTTAATATATATTGTCAGATTGCTTCATAAAAAGGTACTAATTTTTACTCCCACCATGAGGATTTAGTAAGGAAAAATATACCGCACTCTCAGATTGGACCATTTTGGGGGCAGTTGTGTTCTTTCCATCTTGGTCTAATATTTGAAAATAAACAGGTAAGTAAAACTAGGGACAAGAATGTAAATAGCTGCCAAAATGATTTTGCATTTCAGTGCTTCACACTCAGTAACAGACTACAAAGTGGAGTGTGGGGTAATCTTTCCTTATGAGTTCTCACCAGTCATAACCTAGGTTAACCTTTAAATCATGACTGCTTCTACCTAAATGCCATTATTACCTATGGGAAATTCAGATCTAGGCATGACCCAAAAAAAGTTTCCATATAATTAAGGTTGTTTTAAAATAAATGTAATTTTTAAATTTTCAGATTGCCTGGGCTTCTCGGTCCTCTTCAGATTACATTGGGAGATATTTACACACAACTTAAAAATCTTGTTCGAACTTTCAGGTTAGTATTTATATTACAATTATCCTTCTCAATTATTTTGACTTTATTTATTGCCTTGCAGAATCCAAAGGCACAGAGAAAGTAAGTGACTTACCTTTCAATGTCACAGATCTAAATACGGTATTCTATTTTTCTCCTCCACTAAACAACATTTTTCTCTTCTTTTTAATGCAACCTTTATTTGCTCAAGCCATTATATAGTTCACTTTGGATAGTTTATTTATGGAATAGCCTAAAACTGAGAAGGAAAATTATATGTCTGACACAAAGCCAGTAATACTATGGGTTTAAGTGAAACAGTAAATATATATTGGATGACCCACACTGTGCCAGGCACTATGGGTAATGTAAAAGAAACATAATGCCACTCTAAAGGAAGAACTCTCTTGTGTGAAGATCATGTGAGTACAGTGAACAGTACAAGACAGTGGGTAATTTAATATTGAATTACACAGAACAGACTAAAGTGCTAAGAACTTTAAAGGAAGGGAGAATAGAGAATTGATACCAATTGTGAGTGAAACTGTTGTGATTTTTCCTAAAACTATCAAGATAAAAGTATTCAATCAGGCTAAGACTAGGTTCTCTCTACCAAGAAGCATAGCAATAAGCCTCTAAATGCCTTATTAGTAGAATTGTACCAAATGCACATTTCAGCCAAATGCCAGTGACCAAATATTAAAATTAACATTTGCCTGTGGCTAATGTTGCACTGACACAGAATTAACTTCTAGGGTAGAAGAATTAATTTATCCAAGACATTTATCATATGTATTTATTATTGTAGTTTATTATTGTCAACAATAGCAGTCAGATTTTAGAAGTGTAAAATTACAGTACAGGAACAATTTCTTGGCACTGTCAGCTGTTAGATTTCTCTTGCAGTAACATACTGTACATCAGTAACACCTAATAGACAATCATTTTAAACTGGAACATTTAAAAACATCACTAACCTTTTTGTGTGCCAAAAGTAATTCAGGAAAAGGTTTTTCGGTAAGGATTTTACTAGAAAAGAGTTTTGTATCTAGAATTCAAAGTTTAAGGCAAACCTCAAAAAGTATTTGTCTTCAAAGACTTATCTTCAGCTGCTGAAAAGGATAATTTGTAATAATTTACATTAAATTATCAAACCTTCATAGATTCAAAACTATAGATGTCTTAAAACATTATTCCAGAGTCTTCTATAGTGAACTTTGACTAAACAAAATGTGCTTGGGATATCTCAGTTTTCTCTAAGTTTTATCTTAACACTTTGTTATATCATGATTAGATATTATATTTAGATTATATATCTGTTGTTTATATAATTTAGGAATTTATCCAACTCATGATAGTTTGAGGGGACACTGATTTTCATTCATCATCAATTCCCCAACAGAAATTTAAATACAGGTCTTCAAGGTTATTTTCTTTAATGTTGTGACTACTAGTAGGTAATACATTTCTGCAAAGTTTGAGTTATTATAAAATCTAATGTCTATTACTCTGTTTTAGATTATTTAAATTTTTATTAACCTATTCCCAAGATACGTTCTTGAGAAAGTAATCTAGTGTATTCAATATTTGTATTAACTATCAATCTATTTTCCTAAATAATTGAAAGTTGTTACTGATTGTTTTGTACTTAAAATTAAGTTTCACAGACATCATTAATTATTGTGGTATTTTACTCTTCAGTTGGCTGATAAAACAAGCACATAAAGACATTTTCACTTCATTTTATCTAGGATGTTTATATTTGAAGCTGAATGTTTAGGTAATGATAAACTGAATGATATGATTGTTCTAATTACTAAGATTTTTACCCTCACTAGGTGTCATGAAAACTATGCAATTTGAAGATTATTGATTACTCACAAGTTCAGGGATGTCAATCCTCAGATTGACCTTGGACTTTGCCAAAAGAGGGTTTGAGCAAAATAACAAGTCCAAAGCTGAACTTGTCTGCATGCTGTGTGCCCTGTTAGTAATGATGAGAGACATTTTTTAGGTATCCTGTCTTATACCTATCACAGAACCATGCATCCAAAAGGAGATAAAAAGTATTTAAAACTGTCTACACTGATGATAAAGTTTAAATATATGTACACAGTATGGAAACACTGAAGTTTAGGATTTGTTCAGGATTTATCAGGGAATGAATATCATCATACTAACATAAAGTCGAGTGAGGGAAGATGAAGGTCAGATCAGGCAGAGGCTGATCATTGATTTTTTTTTTTTTTTTTTTTTTTTTTAAGACAGGGTCTTGCTCAGTTGCCCAGGCTGGAGTTCAGTGATGCGATCATGGTTCACTGCAGCCTTAACTTCTGGGCTCAAGCATCAGCCTGGCTAATTTTTTTTTTAAGTTTTCTGTAGAGATAGGGGGCAGTCTCACTATGTTGCCCAGGCTGGACTTGAACTCCTGCCCTCAAAAGATCCTGCTGTCTCTCAGAGTGCTGGGATTAGAGGCACAGGCAGGAGCCACAGTTCCTGATCATTTCATTGATTTTCAAAGGACTTGCCATTCACCTTCCTGCAGACAACACATATTTAATCACCATTCTGAGCAAACTGATAAAAGTTATGCTGTACATATCAGAAAACATTAGAATAAACCCTATGGTCTCCAACTACACATTTTTTATCCGGCTTATGTAGAATAGATTAACTAGCAATTTAATTTACTTTGTTTATATTTTTTAGAACAATATTTTTCTATAGATCTAATTTGGTGTCTCTTTTTTAAAAAACTATTCTGAGGTTCTCAAAAGTTACTAGAAACTTTAGGGAAAAAAAATGTTAGGCTACCCCAGATCCTTCTAATCAGTGAGATTTGCTCACATTTGGAAGCTTATTGGAATCACCTAGGGAGCCTTAAAAAATTACCACCTGTGTCCTACTCCCCCATCCAACCCCCACTCCCCCAAGGATTCTGATTTAACTGGTTTGGCATATGGCATTCAAGGGACAGGATTTTAATGCTTTCCAGGTGATTTTAATGGATAGTCAAAGCTGAGAACCTACTGCTCTAGGGCATAATGCAAAAAATAATAATAATAATTTTGGGACTAATACCTCACTGACCTTCCCGGTCCGTTGGTTTTCCTGCCTGCTCCCTTCTGGCAGCCAGTCAATAATTTTAGAACTTACTGAATGGAGACTGGTAATAGTGACATTTTTATTGTAGTGATTCTTCACAGTTGTTTTTTTTCTCCTACGTCTAAGGACCTCTTTATTTTTCCACCATAGAATTGTTAAGTAGTGACTAATTTGTGTTTTTTAAAATATTATTATTATTAATGAAAAATACAGCCAGGCACAGTGGCTCAAGTCTGTAATCCCAGCACTGCAGATATGAGGAGACATTCAAATGCCCTTTTCCTCTTATAAACTATTATCATTTTTTTCTGTCATTCCTATTTTCTGGCTGTAAGTCCCTTCTAGTTACTTTCTGCATTATTTAAAGACTTGATTATGTGACATCTGAGATTTGCTTCAAAATTATCTAGATTAGCAGTAGTGTTGAATATGGGGTTTTATAGAAGAAACGTGATTAGCTGGGAGTTGGTAATTGTCAAAGTTGTGATGTGTATATAGGAATTTATTTTATATTATCTCTACTTTTATATATGTTTGAAATTTAATAAAAAGCATTGGGAAAATAAGCCCCAAAACATATGCTTTATTTTGGTAGGAGGTGTTATAAAATTCTGTTCCAAAAACCTTGGTGTTAATTATTTTTGAAAATCTTTACTCTTTAATAACTATAAGTCAAAGTCTGTAGCTTTGATAAAAATTGCTTAAATTGGCTTCACTGTCCTTCAGAAAAGTGTCAGTTGCTTAGAATACAGAATGACCTCTGATAAGATAGCTGATTTGAAGTCTTCAGATTCCAGATTCTGGACAACGTTGGCAGGTCTGTGACAGTTTGTAGGCTAGGGCTGCCAGGCGAAGCTTCTGGAAAAATGCCATATTGATGACAGTAACTATTGTTGAGAAGTCTTTTCAATCAATACTGATAATGGGAAAGAGTTGACATAAATAACCATATCCTTCTCTCTGAAATGGCAATCAATAATAGGAACTTGTAGAACAGTGATTCTCAAGCCAGTTGTGCATCAGAATTACCTGGGGAGCTTTTAACAACTATAGATGTCCGGCTTCCACCCTAGAGATTGAGTTTCATTCGGCTAGGGTGGGCCTCAGTCATTAGTATTTTCTAAAAGCGCCCCCGCTAGATAATTCTAATGTGTAGCCAGGGTTGAGAGCCTATTTTGGGACCTAAACATAAAGCAGCTTTTTCGGCTCTATGAGAATTTCCCCAGTGAATAGAACTGTCCTTTCCACTGAATTGCATTACAAATCTGCTATCTAGAATGTTACATTGGTTTACCTGTCATAGCGTAAAGCAGGTTCCATCAGAATCTGCTTGATAATGATTCACTGTCATCAGTGTTGAATCTAGGTATTTTTCTAAATTAGATTTGAATTAAAATTATATTTTGACACAAAAGTCCATTTTAAATTTAATCAGTGATGAATCAAGGTATTTCAATCTGTATGAATTTCAAATTATGTTTTGAAAATCTGCTTTTTTTTTTTTTTTTGACGGAGTCTCGCTCTGTTGCCCGGGCTGGAGTGCAGTGGCCAGATTTCAGCTCACTGCAAGCTCCGCCTCCCGGGTTTCCGCCATTCTCCTACCTCAGCCTCCCGAGTAGCTGGGACTACAGGCACCCACCACCTCGCCCGGCTAGCTTTTTGTATTTTTTTAGTAGAGACGGGGTTTCACCGTGTTAGCCAGGATGGTCTCGATCTCCTGAGCTTGTGATCCGCCTGTCTCGGCCTCCCAAAGTGCTGGGATTACAGGCTTGAGCCACCGCGCCCGGCCTGCTTTTTGTTTATTTTTATTTTTGAGACAGAGTCTTACTCTGTCACCCAGGCTGGACTGCAGTGCTGTGATCTCAACTCACTGCAACCTCTGCCTCCCAGGCTCAAGCAATCCTCCCACCTTAGCCTCCTGAGTAGCTGGGATTACAGGCACACACCACCATGCCCTGCCAATTTTTGTATTTTTTGTAGAGAGGAGGTTTCACCATGTTGCCCAGGCTGGTCTGGAACTCCTGAGCTCAAGCAATCTGCCTGCCTCCCAAAGTGCTGGTATTACAGGCATGAGCCACCATACCTGGCCTGAAAAATCTGCTTTTTAAATGTTTTCTGTCAAATATTACTGTTTCCCTTTTAAATTGTCACTCAAACAATAGTAAATACATTCATTTAGCATCTGTGCTGGAAATTATTTTGGCTCAACAATAGGAAAAATATGAAAACAGGTGAAATTTCGCTAGTTTGCTACTAGAAGTACTTTGAAATGAAAGCAAAACCTCTTATTTGTGTTCTCTCCAGTGCCTGGAACGGTGGTAATACAGCAGACACTCTAAATATGTTTTTGGTGAATGTATAAGTGAATTATGAAATCTTAAATCTGTCTTAACTCTACAAGATTTGAGTATAATAGAAAAGGAAATACTTTTTTGAGTCGTAGTCTTGCTTTGTCGCCCAGGCTGGAGTGCAGTGATGCAATCTTGGCTCACTGCAACCTCCACCTCCCGGGTTCCAACGATTCTCCCGCCTCAGGCTCCCAAGTATCTGGGATTACAGGCATGCACCAACACACCCAGCTAATTTTTGTATTGTTAGTAGAGATGGGGTTTCATGATGTTGGCCAAGCTGGTCTTGAACTCATGACCTCATGATCTGCCTGCCTCGGCCTCCCAAAGTGCTGGGATTACAGACGTGAGCCACCACACCTGGCCAGGAAAGGAAATTCTGTTCTGTCATTTTATTCCTATATGCTTATCCTTATTTGAGCTAGCTCCTTTGGCCATATGCTAGATATTGTTTGATTTGCTACAAGTACATCAGTGAACAAAACAGACAAATCCCTTCACTCATGGAACTTACTTCTAATAGATGGAGTACAAAAATATGCCCTTTTCCTTTTCTTTGCCCATTCTTCTCCTTCTCACCCCAGAAGCAGGGAAATCAGATAGTACTGAGGAGGGAGAAATTTGCACTTTTTAATAGGCTGATTAAGGAAGACCTCATTGAGAAGACACTGTTTGTGTAAAGACCCGAAAGGAGGTAAGGGAGCAAGCTGTGTTGCTGTCTGTGAAACTATGGCAGACAGGGAAGAGCAGGTGCAAAGACTCTAAAGCAGGAACAGGCCTGGTGTATTCACAGAATATTTAGGTTGCTGATGAGGTTAGAGAAATGAGCAGAGGCAAGAGTAGAGAGATACATGGTCAGAGAAGTATGGGATTGGGGTTGGGTGTAGTACAGATTGTATAGGCTTTGTAGCTATGATCATTCTTTGACCCTCACTCTGAGTGAGATGGAGGGTAATTGGTAGGTCCTGAACAGAGAAATGACATGATCTAACATATATTTTTTAACAGCATCATTTTGGCTCCCAAGTTGATAATTACAACAGATGAGCAGAGGCAGAGAGACCAATACAGCTAGAAATAGCCAGGGCTATTTTGGTAATCTAGGTAAGAAATGGTGTGGCTGAAGAGAAAACGGTGGAGGTAATAAGAAGTGATTAGATCCTATTTTGAAGGTGGAATCATTAGAATTGGTGACCGGCTGGACATGGGATGTGAGAGAGTCAAGTTTAACCATAAGATTTGTGGCCTGAGCAACTGGATTCTGGAAGGATAGGGTAAGCCATTTACTGAGATAGGAGTGTCACACCATCCTTAGTTTTGGGGGCAGGATGAAGAGCCCAGTTTTGGCGCTACCAAATTTTGAGATGCCTGTTAGACATCCAAGTAGAAGTGTCAAGTGGACCATTAGATATAGAAATCTGGAATTCAAGGAGGAGGTCCAGGCTAGAGGTAATACATTTGGGAGTTGTCAGCATATAGTTTCTAATATTTAAAGTCATAAGATTGGATGACATCACCAAGGGAAAGAGTGTTTGTTTATACAGGAGAGAAGAGACCTAAGGCCAGAGGCCCTGGGACACTCCAGTATTAAAATGTTCAAGGAGGGTGCTCATGAGAGGTAGGGGAACCAGGCAAGTGAAAACTTGGTGAAGAAAATGTTTCCTGGAGAAGGGAGTGATTGTCAAGTGCTGGACAGATTAAGATGAGAGTTGTGAAATGTCTGTTGGATTTGGCAGTGTGGCTGTCTCTTGTACAGTTAATCCTCACAAGAACCCTATGAGGTGGTTGATATTATTGTCCTTATTTTACCAAATTAAGTTTCATAGCCATCAAACAATGTGTCCAAAATAAAACACTACTGAGGACATATCTGGGTATTAAACCCTTATCTTTCAGACTCTAACCATTATATACTGTACTTCCTTTTTCTATCATGTAGGCTTTTTTAAATTTTAGAAAATGATGGGAAAATTCAGATTAATGTAACAAAATATATCCTCCACTCAGAATTAGTAGATTTTAATATTTTCTAAAATTTGATTCAGATATATATTTTAAATAAAATGTTATATAATTATTCAAAAAATATTAATTGAATGCCTACTGACTGCCAGCCACTTGTTCTGGAAACTTACAATAAATAGTGAAGTACACAAAGACTCTTGCCCTCTGAGAAGAAAAAACAGAAAATAAACAACAATTATATATTAGAAGGCAATAAGTGGTATGGAAAAAAAAGAAAAACATATAGCAGAATAAGGAGGTCAGGAGTATTGGGTTTGGGAGGTAGAGGGCAAGTTGTACTTTTTAATACTGTGGTCCGGATAGGCCTTATTGCAAAGATGACATAAGGAAACTTACCTGGAAGAAGATACTTTCAGATGGACGGAATAGCTGGTGCAAAGGAGGAGGGCATGAAGTCAGTCCCCTTTGTTCCCTTTCCCAATCCATTCTTTGTTCCTCCCCAGAAGCAACTGGTACTGTGAAGTAGATGTGTATCCTTCTAGTCTTTGTTTTTATGTTTACTGCCATAAACAATATTTAGTATTTAGTCTGTTCTTGATTTATATAAATAATGCTATACCAGCCGGGCACTGTAGCTCATTCCTGTAATCCCGGCACTTTGGGAGGCCGAGGCAGGTGGATCACTTGAGGCCAGGAGTTAGAGACCAACCTGGGCAACATAGTGAAACCCCACCTCTACAAAAATACAAAAATTAGGCGTGGTGGCACATGCCTGTAATCCCAGCTACTTGGGAGGCTGAGACAAGAATTGCTTAAACTCGGGAGGTGGAGGTTGCAGTGAGCGCAGAGAGCATGGCACTGAACACCACCAAGGATAAAAGATAAAAACAGAATAATACTCTGTCTTAAAAAAAAAAAAAAAAAAGCCATGCCATGTTTGCTTTCTTTCATTCAAAATTATGATGAGCAAAATATGTAAATCTAGTTTATTCATTTTAACCGCTATTTAATATTTTATAAATATGCCACAGTTTATTTTTCTCTCTATTACAAGCAGAGTTACATTAACAACCTTCACACACATTTTTTTATGTATAAGTGAGAGTATTTTTAGGCTTTATATCTAGAAGTATGTAAATAGCTGGGCTGTTTATATGCATTTTCAACTTTATTAGATATTGCCAGATTGTCATTCAATTGCTCACATCAACAGTGTATTGCACTATTTCTTCCCATCCTCACCAACCTTGGTATTGCCAGTCTTTCATTTTTCCAGGTGGATGGAGTGAATTATTGTCTTTATATTAATTTCTCAAATTATTAGTGAGATTGAGCTCCCTTTCAAATTTTTATTGTCCATTTCAAATTCCTTTATAAATTCTCTGTTCATATCCTTTACCATTTATTTATTGGCTGATATTTTCTTATTGATTTATATCATTTTTAAATTTAGAGTGATCTTTCTAAATGCTTTCTGAGAAACTAAGATGACTACAGAGTTTTTTGTTGCCACTAATGGCTTAGTGATAAAATTTACTTCTGATTTTTTTAAAAACTTAAGTTTTCTTTAATAAAGACCTATTCTTATAATTTATTAAGCCACTCTTATTTCTGTAAATTATGGATTATAACATCCCTTAATTGCCTGCTACCAACCTAGCACGAGATGGAAAGGTACAGAAGATGAAGTAAAATTACAATCAGAAATTGCTTACCTTAAGCCAGACACAGCAGCATGTACCTGTCATCCCAGCTACTCAAGAGGCTGAGTCAGGAGGATCTCTTGAGCTCAGGAATTCAAGGCTACAGTGTACCATGATCATGTCTGTGAAGAGCCACTGCACCGCAGCCCAGGCAACATAGCAAGATCCCATTTCTTTAAAAAAAAAAAAAAAAAGAAAAGAAGAAGGAGAGAGAAGAAAGAAAGAGAGAAGAGGAGGAGGAAGACGAAGAGAAGAGAGAGGAGGGGAGGGGAGATGAGGGGAAGGGAGGAGAGGAATTGCTTGGTTAGGGGAAAGCATAGAGAATATTATGAGTATGTGTGTTGGGGGTGTGTGTATTTTAATCAAGCAATTTAGTTTCCCACATTGTTCCTATATGTTTATCTTGTCTAGTAGTAATAATATTAAAAACATAAAAAAGTGGGGATGGAACACTTCCTTTTGAGATGGCCATTATCAGATAGTGACTATTGAGCCGCATTATTATACTATTGACTCTGTCCTGTCAAATATAACAAGTATTTAAAAAAAATAGTGCTTCTGTGGCACATTATAATAAATCTGATGTTCTCTAGAAAGAAATAGAAAGTTTACTTAAAGGTAACACTCCTTGGATAAATTTTATCTGTCTTTCAGGTTAACAAATAGAAATATTATACACAAACCTGCGGAATGGACTTTAATTGCTATGGTGTTGCTGTCATTGTAAGTACTCTCTCAGATTTTAACTCTAAATACTAAGTGTGAAGCATATTAATTAGGGAAAAACAAAGTGATCCACTGATTTTGTAAACTGCCTTGGAAAATATCATACCTCTATTTTGTGCCTTGTTTTCCTTTCCTATGTAATAAAACAACTTTTATATAAAGTGATATGTAATTATTCTCTATATTTTTTTACCATCTTTTCTTCTGTATACCTTATTCTTTACAAATACTATTTGTTATCATCTCTTTTTTTTTTTTTTTTTTTTTTG